TCAATGGGTGACACGCTCTCGGATCGGGTTCTCTGCAGAAGATCCAATGCGGCAGCTAAACAATAATAGCTGTGGACGGCCTTGGCCGCTGCTCCAACAGATTGCGGGACTTGAGTCATCAGAAAGGCCCGAAGTGTTGGGTAGAGGGACAGACCCTCACTAGCCGAACATGATAGCTGTCCATCCTTCAGCTTCTCAACTGCCTTGATGCCACTAGTCCCTCTTGAGGAAACCTTCTTGGGCCATGACAGGCTCTTCAAATAAACAACAAAGTCCAAGAGCCCCATTGCATGCTCTTGTTTCACCTTGTCGATCAGGAGAGGTACCTCGGAATTCCACAAACCACTGACGAGGTAAACGTGCATCCAGTCAAATGACGTCACGGAAACAACTCCAGGAATAGAGCTCATGAAGTTCTCATCGAAGAGCGCCCCTTCCGGCGCAAACATCAGACCTAATGATTTTTCTAGCTCTTCAAAGGCGCCCTTCCCCATGCCAGGCCTGTCCGACTTAAGCGTCCTGACAGCTGCCATAACTGATTCATCAGTGTGCAGGACACATCGGTCCAGGCTGCAAACGGAACTTGGCACCAACCAGTTAGATTTGTCGTGAGCTGCCACATTCAATAGATGGTTGGTGACATTTTGACAAAATAGGCAAATGAACAGTCCGGAGGAACCTTTGTTGCTCCAGCATTGTTTGAGGGCAGCCTCATCCGCCAAAAGGAGCCCGACCTTGAAGAAACCAAACTTGCAAGGTCCCCTCAAAGGGAGTTGCAGCCCATGCCTGCCATCATAGGGAGGGGTCTGAAACAAGTTGCAGATCTGCTTGAAGATCTGCGAATAATGCCCCGCGATCCGCTTAACGTGGCTTGTGCGGCAGATTGCAATTTGCCACCAAAGGCCATCCCTACCCAACTGACCCTTGAATTCCAGCAAGGACCAGTTGAAAGCTACCAGCTTCCGCTAGTTTGTAGGTTTCAGTTGATCTCCTGGGAGTATTTCGTCGCAGTAGAGTGCCACCTTGAAAGGTGTCTCTGCCGTGTTCGTGCAGGATGCCATGACCCCCTCGAAGAAATCCCGAAACGACTCGCATCTTTCCAAAGTGGCATGCAACAAAGCCCACGGGTTCATGACCGGTAGTTTGACCATGCCCCCGTCTGTAGTCTGCAGGTCGACGCTGCCATGCAGGGGGCCTAACGGCGTCATGTCCGGCATTGCCTCTCGCCTGGTCCTCTTCAACGTTGGGCGGCTGATGGCATCAGGCAAGCCATGTTCTCTGACAGACTTGAGAACCGCAACTATTCCACTTTGGCTGACGAAAGCGTGGGAAGCAGCAGCCACGTACACGTGGCGTGACGATCGAGAACCTGAGCTCATAACATCCACGAGCCGTGTTTCGGCCCTGTGAGGCAAAATGATTCCAACAAAACTATGTGTTGCGTGGGTCTGCAAGAGCTGTACACGCTGCGTTTCAACGGATCTATGCATTCGTGGCTATATGCGTCTTGTCTTCAAAGGTCACTGCCAGTTCAAACTGAGCCACTGAAGATCACTGAAGTGTGTGTATTGTTCATTCTCAGCTCGCCGGAATGAGAAAAACATTGTCGTTTGAGAACCTGAGATGGTCACATCCCGTTTAGCTTTCAGGCCGCGCCTGATTGGACCAAGGCCTGAATCATGCGTCAGCAAAAACAGAAGCGCACGCGCATGGATACGAGATATGTGTGTGTGCGTTTGTGAAATACCCTTTGGTTGAAAAGAACTCTGGGTGACTGACATGTTTCTTGTTTCAATATTCACTTGAAAAACGTATTGTCTGGCCAAGTCTTCATGATGACCAAATTGCGCGCGCAAAAGCTCTTTTGTGTCAAGGCTTCCACATGACATGTGTGTACTGCGTGGCACACAGTCTATCTACATTCACAAGCTTCCCAAAGCACACGCGCATGAGCCGTCCCGAACAGGCCTGTTTGGCCATACAGGCTTCACTCCACATCCTCCGGCGCTTCATCGATTAACTGCAAGGCTCGCTGCCACTCAGCGCCGCAATTCTCTTCGTCCAGGATCTTCACTTTCTTGTCACAGCGATCACCGCCGTTCAAAAAGACCCTGAAAGCCCCCGAGTTCCGGTGAATCTTCCCACGCCGGTACCACGTCGTTCCACTCTTCGGAGCAGGCACGGGCGGCGGATCCTCCTTGGACCAAATCTTTCTGTCAGCACTTGCCTTTGCTTTGGCTTTAGGCCGAGAGACTTCTTCAGTCTCTGCTTGTCTCTTCGTGGAAGCCTTGGCTTTGGCGCCAGATTTCCCCTTTGCCTTGGCCTTTCCTTTGGCCTGTGCTTTCCCTTTCTTTTCAGGCTGCTCTGCTGCAGCTTCTGCCTGTTTGGCTTCTTCCTTTGCAGCCTGCCTCTCCGCCGTGGCTGTCTTGACCCAAGAAAGCTGCTCTTCTGGCGAAATCACCTGTTTGGTGAGTGGCAGAACCAATTCCAAGCCTTTGGGCGATTGTTCCTGTGAATCAGTCTGCGACTCCCCATGGGCAGCTACGGTTGCTGCTTTGGCGGGGCTGGCGGGCGGGTCCGTGGTCAATCTGTTCGCAGGGGATGGTGTCATGGTCACGCTGCCTTTGTTGCCAAAGACCTGCAGGTTGGTGAGGAGGTTTGCCCCATTGCCTGCGCTTGGTGAGCCTGCGCCCGACCCGCCACCTTGCAAACTTTGAAACATTTGAAACATCTGGAACATCTGCATGGCCTCTCGGCGGTATTCCATTGGGGGAGGTACCGCATAGTCGTAGTAGACGAGCATCGAAGTGAGGGCTTGACGGGCTTCCGGAGTCAGCGCAGCCACTGCTTGAAGCGCATGGTTCCATACATCCAATGGTGTCTGTGGCGTGGGCGACGAGGATGAAGTCGATGAATTTCGCCAAGGAGCTGTGCTGGTGGCCGCTTGAGATGACACTGGAGGATCCGTCATGGCTCAGAAGATCGGGACGAAGCGAACAGTTAGAGATATCTTCCAATCTCGTGCAAAAAAGGCTGCGTGTAGAAAGAGAGAGGGGAACAGCGTGAATTGGTACGGGGGTGGGGACGAAAGGGTTGAAGCAGCAAAAGCCCAAAGTGTTTTGGTTGACCAGTGCATCTATACATGGTGCAATGGAAACTACTGTCACAGAAAAAGGAAGAGACTTGATCTAGGGCAGCCCGGCAGCCTCAGAGGATGTCAGAGTGGACGACTTGGAATGTAGGGAAATCGTCGCGGAAGCCGTCCCTGGTAGTCGGTCTGGTCGAGGTGTTCACTTGGAGGAAAAGCTTGTCGTCGCGGAGAGCGGGAGGATTGACGTGGGCTGGCTGGAGGTGTCGGGTAGTTCAGGAAGTAGCAACAAAAGGCTCGGCGAGCATCCTGAGGAATAGCCAGCCACGCACAAAGGGATGCCGCAAAGGGATCATGTACATCATCCGGATGTGAAAGTGAAGGTGATCCAGGTTGATGGGCAAGTACGTGATGGGACTCCTTCGAGTGGTCGTGACGTGGACGGTCAGGCTGGGGGTCATCAAGAGCCTGGGTCGTGCCGGAGGCCGAAGATAGAGTTGCCGAACTGGGTGTCCAAGAGGTAGTCATGAGCAAGGGAAAGCAATGGGGAATTTTGGTATCGGTGAAATAGGGCTTGAGCATGGACATCAGGACAAGCAAGCATGCTAGGTGGGGGGTGGTGGGGGAAAAAAGGGTGGAGTTGACATTGGGGGGGCAGTGTGTTTTTTCAAAAACTCGAAGTGATGCGCTGGCGCAAGCATTATAGAGAGTCTGTGAAACTGGCTACGGGGTCGCGACGGTCACGAGTGGCTCGCCATAGGGAAGCATGTAGTCCAGCACGTCCTGCGGGAGAGGTACTCTGAGATGTGGTCGGAGTAGACGTAGTCCAGGGGGTGGGTGTAGATGTGTCATCAGCCCGGACGGGTGGAGTGCGAGAACGATCTCGATGGGCAGGATGAGGACCCAGAGCATCCTAGATTGAAAAAA